ATGTTCTTTTTTGTTCTGTTTAAAGATTCTTCTCAGGAGATACTGATTTGGATGTGCAAATAGGAACAGAATATTTTTTTCTATGATTAGTGGCTATGGCGGTGAGAACAAGCGTCCTACAAAATGACTTTTTAGCTCAACTCCAAAAAGCTGATAATTTTGGTTTTCATGCTTCACCATCATCTACTCGTCACTCAATTGGGCAATATGCGCGATCTTCGAAATCGCTGAGGTTTTGGTCAACTGCTCAGATATATCCAAATGTGGTCGATGAATCTGATGTGTGGAATGAACCGGAAAGAAAGAAACAGCGAATATCGGATTTTATGAAAAAGTATGTGTTAAAATTATTTGTAAACTTTTAATGCTACTCTTTCTATAGATTGATTCCCACACGACTTAAAGCTTGTATTGCCGGATTTCTTCTCGCAACTGTGTTAGCTGGTGCGACGATTGGTGTACTACTTGGAGTTTATTTGAATCGAGGTATGTTTCTTGGCAACCCCGTTTTGTTTTAGCAATAGCCAGTTATACACTGGCTTGCTAAAAGAATTAGTAGTTTCGCTGCCTTGCAGTCATTTTTTATTTATTGAGGTTCCACATCGAATTTAGCGTCAGTCACTTGTACATCGATGGAGACTGGGACAACAGTAGCTGGTCTCAACGGATCAGGAAGTAACTTAAATCAGCTGAATTTTCCTAATGGCATATACGTCGATGTAAATTATAACGTATTTGTGACAGATTTCTACAATAATCGTGTGATGAAATGGGTAGCCGGTGCAACTGAAGGCGTTGTAGTTGCTGGGGGGGGTATGGTTTAGGTCGGGCACTAAATCAATTGTGGTATCCAACGGCGGTTTCCGTTGATCAAAATGGAAATGTTTATGTGGTAGACTACTACAGCTATCGTGTCGTAAAATGGACATCTGGGGCGTCAGCGGGGACTGTCGTTGCTGCAAACAATTGGTTTGGCTCAGCCTATAACCAAATAAGCACTTGTTACGGCTTGTACGTTGATAAATTCTTAAACATTTATGTATCTGTTACGGATTCCAATCGCATAATGAAATGGACTAGTGGAGGTTTGAATGGGTCTCTTGTGGCCGGTGTAAAGATTAATCGTTTCAAGTTACTCTTTATTTTACGACTAGATGAAGTATCAACTGTATAGACATTGTTGAAGACCCAACTTTTTTTGTGCACACAATGACATAAAAATCGCAACATCATCACAACTGACAGATGCTCAGTAGCATAAATCAGCTCGATTGAAATTCATTGTGTATTTTTTGGATGTAATTAACAATCCTCCTAGTTAACACTCTAAAAAAAAATCCGTCTTATTCTAGCCGTCATACTCCTGTATTGGTCTAACTTTTTTTCTTCCGTCTTATTTGAAGACAGACGAGTCTGTCCGTCTTATTTGAAGACAGACGAGTCTGTCCGTCTTATTTGGCCAAGTAGTGAATGCGAAACAAAACAGGTAAATGATTTCTCATTCTTTAGACGATAAAAATAAGACCTCTTTCTTTGGTCTTACAAATAAGACGGACAGACTCACCGCCATAGCCACTAATCATAGAAAAAAATATTCTGTTCCTATTTGCACATCCAAATCAGTATCTCCTGAGAAGAATCTTTAAACAGAACAAAAAAGAACATAATCATAAAAAACAGAAAAGGTTGGAACGTGGAAAGGGTGGAAAACGTTGGACTTACGAGGGAACACCCCCAGGTGCGCCGCTCCTATTTCGTTCGTTCATACATCATTCGATAGGGGACCTCGAGTAGGTAAAAAGCCTAAAAGGATTTCGGCCGACGGCTTTCGAAACTTACGGACAGTTTTCTGATTTTCCCAGTGAAAACTAGCATAAAA